TGTTCAAAAGTTTATAATGGTCTCTATTATCTATGAATGAGTGAGATCATGTGGTATTTTTCCTTCATTGACTGGCTTATTTCAATTAGCATAATGCTCTAAAGTTCCATCCATGCCGTTGCAAATGGTAAGAGTTCCTTCTTTTTTACAGCAGCATAGTATTCCATCGTGTAGATGTACCACAGTTTTCTAATCCATTCATCTACGGATGGGCACTTAGGGTGTTTCCAGATCTTAGCTATGAATTGTGCTGCTATGAACATATGGGTGCATATATCCTTTCTGATTGGTGTAAGCAATTACTTTTAATAACATACATCTCTTCTTGCTTATGGTTCCCCCAGATAAACAGAAGTTTGGGATGCCAACACTGAATAACTGTATTATCGTATTTTCTAAATACATGATTCATACATAAGGTCCCTTTAAATAACAAAATGTATCATTTTATTTTATACAGTTGCATAATGGGACTATTTTTAGAACCTAGTTAATGTTTTATATGTTATATATCCAAAAGAGGGGTCATGTTTACTTCGATTTCATTTAAAGTTAGTAAGCCAAGAGGCATCCTCTCCCATTTGTCTCTCAAAAATGGGCTACAAAGCAACATATTTAACCTTTTCCCTAGCTTCTATTGGGCAGCCCTTCCTAATTCCCCAACTGAAAACAGAACACTGCATCTGATAAAGGGCAGTCTCCCCAGGACCCAGCACCAATTCCATTCTGCTAACATTGATGCTCTCCCAAAGCCAAGGAAAAGCAATCCATTTTCTAGTTTAAAATTATCAAGCTACAAACAAAAGCTTTATTTTCTAAACTAATGGAGGTTAAGGATATTCTATAATTGGGATGAGCCCAAAATCAGTTAAGTCCAAAAGATCTCCCAGGCAACTACAACCTGCTTGGGAGTCACCTTGAAAGAGCCAGCTCATCCCCACAACTGCTATGCAACACTCTGATCCTGGGTCTCACATCTCCTGCATATCTGGGGCCTTTGACTAAAATGTTCTCCTATTACATGAGTATATACATTTGTCAAAATTGCACTTTACTGTATGTAACCATACCTCATTAAAATTTGAAAAATTAAAAGGTGCATGTTGAGAGTTTCTTTAAACTTCTGAGTGATTTCCTATCAGACCACTGCTCTGGATTAAATCACATTCCAAAACGGGGTAAGTCAAGAATACTGGGTTTGAATTCAGACACCTAGAACCAAAATACATCTCCCTTACTAACTCACTGCATGCCCTTGGACAAAGGGACAATTTTACGGAGCCTACTTCCTTATCTGGACATTAGAAATAAAAAATATCGCCCTAGTTGGCTTGGCTCAGTGGATAGAGAGTCGGCCTGTGGACTGAGGGGTCCCGGGTTCGATTCCGGCCAAGGGCACATGCCTGGGTTGTGGGCTCAATCCCTGGTTGGGGGGTGTGCAGGAGGCAGCCAATCAGTGATTCTCTCTCATCATTGATGTTTCTATCTCTCCTTCTCCCTTCCTCTCTGAAATCAATAAAGAAATATATTTTTAAAAAAAGAAAAGAAAAGAAAAAATATCTACTTCACAGGATAATTGTGAGACCTAAATGAGATGTTTATAAAATATTTGGCATAGTTTCTAACATCAACAAGTAAGCACTATGTTACCATCATTAGAATCTTTGTTTCCATCATTTTAAACCAATCTTTATTTGGTATTTCTCTCAATCCTAAAATACATATTCCACCTAATCTAAAACTTTTAAAGAACTTCTTAGAGCCCTGGCCAGTGTGGCTCAGTTAGTTGGACATCGTCCTGTGCCAAAAGGTTGCTGGTTCAATTCCTAGTCAGGACACATGCCCAGGTTTCAGGCTCAATCTCAGGTAGGGGGTGTTCAGGAGGCAGCCAATGGATGTTTCACTCTCACATTGGTATTTCTCACTCCCTCTCCCTTCCTCTCTCTCAAAAAAAAACAACAATCAACTATTCAAAAATAAAATAAAGAACTTCTTAGACATACACATGCCTAGCCTCACCCTAATGACTGTGATGTGTTAAGTCTGGGATGAGGACAGTTTTGGGAACCACACTCCTGTAGGGAACATGTGTGGCAGAACATGACTATAACCAGAGCCCACAAGAACTCCTAAGATAAACTGAATAGCTCATTCTAGTTTCAAATGGCAAGTAGTATTCTACCTTTAGACTATTGTAATAATGTCAGAACAATGTTTGCTAACCTCCAAAGAAAAGTGGCATCCCCTCATACCCAACTCTCCCAATAGTAAATAGAGATTTAGTCTTTATTTTATCAAAAGTTAAGAACAAAGTAAGGTTGCCTCTTTTTAAAAAATGTTTTTATTAATTTTAGAAAGACCTAAAAACAAGTGAGAGACAGAAGACACTGATATGAGAAACATCGACCAGTTGCCTCCCACATGCGCCCCAACCGGGGATTAAACCCACATCCCAAATGTGCCCTGACCGGGAATCAAACTGGTGACCTTTTGGTGCACAGGACAACACTCAACCAACTGAGCCACACCAGCCAGGCCGAGGTTGCCTCTTGAACAACATGGGGGAGCTGGGGGAGGGGGGGGTGCTGAACTCCATGCAGTCAAAAATCCATATAACTTGACTCCCCAAAAACTTAGTTGTCCCACAATATCTAAGGGGGAGTGGTTCCAAGACCTCCCGCTCCAGATACCAAAATGTGAGAATGCTCAAGTATAAAATGGCACAGATCAATGCACACACTCAGCCCTCTGCATCTGCAGATGGAAAACAGTACAAGTATTTATTGAAAAAAATCCTCATGTAAGCGGACCCATGCAGTTCAAGCCCGTGTTGTTCCAGAATCAACTGTATATTCTTGGAGGATTCAGCAGTGTGACACGCTGCCTCTCCCTCCAACAGGTGCATCCTGGCACAGTACAGAAAGAGCAAATGGGAGGAAGAACAGTACTTTACTTATTTCTTCAGCAGGTCTCTACCTGATGGCACCAAACAGCAGACGACAACAAAATAAATCCTACGACATATTTGTCTTAGTTCCTAAAAGAAGTTTCAAAACCACCTTATATAATGCTACCCCACCCCCTATACTGCCCACGAAACCACAGTTTTTCAGAGTGGTCTTTGGTGTCACCTGTTTCTGAATGATAGGAGGAGCTTCTTAGAACCCTCTCCAGATTTTGATACAAAAAAAGAAAACTGAACCCAAGGAATCTGCATTTTTAATTCCCGTGGTCATTTTTTATGCTCAAAATTTGGAAGTACACTATAACTAGAAATTTTCACCTCAAGTAAGAAAACCTTGAACACAAAAGATCATGATTATGCTTGCTCTTAGAGTAATGAAGAAATATCTACTAGAACATGAACAAACTGTAGATGATGGAGGTCAAGAGAAGATGCTATGAAGCTAAAACACCTGAGTTTAGAGTTCTGTTCACTAGCCATTTGACACCAGGTAAATGGGCCCCCGTTTTCTCATCTGTAAAATGGAATACTACCACCTACCTCAGAGTTGTAAGGACTACTGAGTTATTAAATCTCTCAGACGTGTCTGAAAATTTTTAAATTAATAAATAAAGTTTTTAGAGAGCCTGGCCCTAGCAACACTCAAAAAATACTTATTTAGAATCCTTGTGGCCAATGGCCACAGACAACTAGCTATAGGGCTGTGATTCTTATTTGCTGAATCTCTGGAATTTGCATCCATATCCAATGATTCACAAAACCATCAAGGATCGAATGTTTTGCACTGCTTAAAAATCAGGTGCTCCTCAAGTAAAACACAAACCAGGTAAATTGGCCCTAAAAATGGTATAGGTTGAGAGCAGATGCTTTCCACAGCTCTCTAAGAGGACAGGAAAAGACAATATAACTGAAAACTCCCCAAACTCTTCATAGCAAAATAGGGCTGCATTTATTTAATCATCCAAATCCTGTAAGTTGAAAGTAAAGCAACTGGGTGGCCAGACAAAGGTACAAGATCATCCCAAAAACAAACAAACAAACAAACAAAAAAAAAACTCACTCATCCTGCCACTTTCACTCTCATAATCTGCATTTAAAACAAGCTGATTTCCTGACATAGGAATTTGGCTACAACAGGAAGAAAAAAGTCTAACCGTAAGTAAAATGCTACTATACTGTAATGCTCAGATTAGAGTATCAGGGCAGCGGATACTTTCAACTGCATCAATGGTGCTAGACAGACGGCCTGAACTGAAGATGTATAATGGGGAGGAAATATTTGGGCTAGATCTGAACACGGGGAAAAGAAACTAATAACAAAATGGAGAAAACGATTCTCTGGGAAGAGCGTGTGCCAACTCCCAGGGCGAGCTTCAGGAAGATGAGAATCCCTCCAAACAAACAAACAACATAAAAGGCCTTAATGCCCAGCATGCTCCAGTCCTGAACTGTGAATTCTGGCAAATAGATGTAAAGAATATAGAGGAGGTAGCTGGGTGAAAGATGACCCGAATTCTCACGGGGGGGGGGGCAGCCAAAGCTTGGTGCACAGAACACGGAATCCAGTCTTAGCCTTGCAGCAACTCAAGGGTCAATTAAGCATGTTCCATTAAGCCCGAAATTTCCAGACAAAAAAAGAGATGTAACGTCTTGGAGAGCAGCTCTTTGAAAATCCACGGCAGACAGACATTGGGGATGCAAAGGATTTGGGGGGAGGGGGGAGTGGAGACGAGTCAGAAGAAGCCTTCTCCAAGATGAAATCCTGCGACTCGCGGTGCAAGAACGCGCAGGGAGCTAAGAGGGAGGAGGGGTCTGGGAAGGAGCTCTCCACGCCGACCAGCAGGTACCGCGCCCGAGGTCCGAACCCCAAAGCCCCGGCGTGTCGGGGGGCCCCAGGCCTCCAACCCGCCCAGCCCACGCACCAACCCGGGACCACCGTGCGGGGGCACTGTCCCCCCGCGACCGCGCGGGAAAAACGGCGGCCGTGCCGGAAGGGGGCAGGGCGAGCCGCGAGGGCGCCCCGCCGGGCACTTACGCGGCCGCTTCTTCCGCAGGCTTTCCACGCGCTGGCGGGAGACCGAGGTCCCGCCGCTGCAGGAGCCGTGCCGGTCCCGCCTGGCTCCCTCCGCCGAGGTCCCGGCCGCGGGGACCGACGTGCTGTTCGCCCGGCGCCGCAGCGGCTCCTGCCCCCGCCCATCTGGCTCCTCGGGCGCCGGTTCCCGGGTCGACGAGGCGGAGGTAGCGGCGGCCCTGCCGTGGCGCTCCATGGGCGCACGCAGCCGGCCCGCTCCCATCCGCAGCAGCCGCTGCTGCCGCCCAAGCCAGCCCCTCGCTGCCTCCGCGGCGAGTCCAGCCGGAGCAGAGGCGCACCCTCGGCCGGCCGCCTCTTCCGTTGCGACAACGCGCAGCAAGCCAATCCCAGCCGGCTGGGGGCAGCCCGCAGGCCTCCTGTCCAATCGGCTCCCTGACTCGAGGTGGAGTGACTGCAAGTTCGTCCAATAAAAGACTCTCAGGACGGGGGGGGGCGGTGCAGGGAGCGGGGGAGGGGCTCCGGGATCTGCGGAGGAGGAAAAGGCGGTGGGCTGACAGGGGAAGCGATGGCGGCGCCGCCCTATGGACGCGTGGGTGGAGTGGCCCCCACCCTGGGCGGAGCGGTCGGCGCCCCGGGAACCCAGAATTCTCCCGGGATGCCGCCGCGCGCTCCCACGCCAGGCCGTGCCCCGCAGCGTCTGTTGGCGGACGGAAGGGCTGCAGCTGCGGCTGGCTTGAGCCTTTGTCCCTCGCCTGGTCCCTCCGCTGCCGTGTAGGGAGGACCCCAGCCCCTCTGCGCCGTTTCTCACTACCACCCTCCTCCCCCGGCACCGCCACTGTTCGGGCTAAACCCCCTTCATTCCGCCTGCGATGGAGAAATGTTCCCGGGACCAGAAGGAATGCTAGGACTGGGGTTGGTCTCTATGACAACTGGAAGGAAGAGGTGGGTTTATAGATCCTTCGCCATTCTCCTGTAGTGGAGAGAGCGTGGGACCCGGGAAGTATGGCTGTCTTTTTTTAAGGAGAGTCTGGTCCCCCCTTTCTGTGTAGTGCCCTAGGGGGCATAGAAAGATTTGGGGGCCGCCTTGGAGCCTGGGGGGAAGAGGGTGCTTTTTTAACATCTTAATTGCCTTCTCTTTTGGGGGCGAGAACATGGTCACCTCCAGTCCTGAGATCCCGACCTCTCACGTCTACCAAAGGCCCTGCCAAGCACCCCCTCTCCCAGAGGTTACACAAGCCCGTTAGGATCCTGCCCCCCACCCCCAACTTTGAAGGCATTCCCTCACTCCGTCAGTTACAGGACCATGGGGTTATCTCGTTTGCTAATTATTTCCTAAGTACCTCCCCTGGGGGATTTTAATGGCCCTTGGTTGATAGCCCTTATTTCCCCGTAATGACTGCTAGTAGCCGACTGAACCAGAAAGATGAGCTTTTCTCTTGCTGGTTGAGTAGAATTACCATGTTCACTGCAAACTTGCTCCCCTCACTGTAGGAATAACTCTGGAACCCCAGTCTCCTAACTCTGGAAATTCCAGTTCCTGCAGGAAGCGCGGGTTTGGGGTTCAATCCCCAGTGTGGAGCATGCAAGAGGCACCCAATCAATGACTCTCTCTCATCCGCAGGAACCAAGAACAACTGTAACTACTCTTCCAAGTCTCAGTGCCCAGCAGTGCCTATCTTTCTGCCTCCTCCCCCACCACCACCACCACCACCACTACAAAAAGTACATGTATGAGCCTCCTGACCTGAGGAAGCTCCTATCCAAGTCTGTGAGCTCCCATAGATCATCCTGAGGAATCAAAGAATCATCATCATCTGAGGCTGTCAAGATGAATTTCAAAACCACACCTGAAATACGTTTATTACCGTTTACAGAGTGCCTTTACATCTCATTTATTCCTCCCAGCAACATTTGGATGATGAGGCAGTTTACCCAGAGGTACACAGTTTTTAAAAATGACAGACCCTAGACAGACTTCTGAGAAGTTAGCTACTCTGCCTTATGATAATCAAAAGAAGGCATGGATTCAGTGAAAGTCCAATACATTCCTGGAAGGCTTTTGCTCCTCTTAAATACATATGTGTGTCTTCACTCTCTAATGTGTCTGTAAACTTGCTGACAATCTGTGGCTATCATTAAAGTTTATCCAAAATAACAAATGAAGCATATACTACTTGCAGTTAGGCAAGATGTATATAATCCTAAATCAAAAATGCAAATTGATCCCTGGTTTAGAGCACATACAGGAAGCAACCAATGAATGCATGAATAAGTGAAATTGATCATTTCTTTCTCTCAAATCAATTGTTTTGTGTGTGTGTGTTTTAGTTTTTTAAGCCTGGCCAGTTTTGCTTAGTGGTTGAGCATTGACCTATGAACTAGGAGGTCATGGTTCGATTCCTGGTCAGGGCACATGCCCAGGTTTCAGGTACAATCCCCAGTGTGGAGCATGCAAAAGGCACCCAATCAATGATTCTCTCTCATCATTGATGTTTCTATCTCTCTCTCCCTCTTCCTTCCTCTCTGAAATCAATTTTAAAAAAATTTTTTTAATAAACAATAAAGTTTTTTTCTCAAGGCAAATAAATTGAGCAAAAGAAGCCAGACACAAAAGAATGTATCCTATGTGATTCCATCTACATGAAGGTCAATATTCATAAATGATATTGCAGTGATTCTCATCATTAATGTTTCTATCCCTCTCTGAAGTCAATAAAAATATATTTAAAAAATAAAAATAAATGATATTAGAAGTCAGGATAATGGTTGCTCTTGGGGAAAGGGGAGAGAGAACTGGTGAGAGGATAGCAGGTAGGTTTATAGACGTTGGTAATGTTCAGTTTCTTTGGTATGGGGGTAGTTACGTGGGTATGTTCGCTTTGTAGTATTTCATTAAGATGTTCACTTGTACAGTTTTCTTGTATGTGTATTATGCTTAAATAAAACTTTTTTACAAGAGAAATTGAAGATTTGCCTTGGAGCAAAGTAAACCCATGACTAAGTTTAGGTGTTTTGTGTGTGTGTGTGTGTGTGTGTGTGTGTTTTCATAGCCTCTAAATGAAAGTAGCAATTAAGAGTTTTCCTTTTCTGTGGTTATTATAATAGGTTTTTTAAAATATGTTTTCATTGATTTTTAAAGAGAGGAAGGGAGGAGGAGAGAGAGATAGAAGCATCAATGAGAAACATTGATCGGCTGCCTCCTCCACATACTGAATCAAGCCCAAAACCTGGGCATGTGCCCTGACCAGGAATCCTCTTGGTGTATGGGTCAATGTTCGACCACTGAGCACACCGGCCAAGCATAATATTTTATTTTTCAAAGAGAGCATTATTATTAAGTTCTTTACTACTTCTCTCAATTATTTAACCTTGGGGAGAAGCTAATTTTCTGGTCTACAACCAAAATAAGAAGCACTAGAGTTATGGTAAGCGTTGTGCTTCAAAGGAACTAACCAAATTCTTTCATTGGGTTCCATTGGTGCCAGGAAAATGAAGGGTGAAGCTCAGGCCCCTTTCAAACACAAGGCCTTTTTTTCCTGAGTGTATTGGTGGGAATTTTGGAAAACCTTGCCTACTGTGTCTCCCAAAGGGCAAAGAAATGAAGAATATGAAGTTCTCAAGCCTCTAAACATTCTTCCAATACCTGGCCCCTGACCCAGAGTTCACTTCTGAAGAAGGGTAGAGATGGTGGTGTGTGTGTGTGTGTAACTAGCATGTGGCTTTCTGATGGCCTCACCAGAGCTCACAGGCAATATAAAAGTACTATTGCCTGCTTTCACAAATAAGGCTCAACTTTTCTCAGAAGAACAAAGAAAGAAAATTCAAGATGAAAAAACAATGAGTTTAGACCGCAGAGTTTCCTAGATATGGAAAATGCTATTCCTTCCCAAGTATTGAAAGGACTGAAATTTCCTCTTAGTTTTCAAGAACAAAGCCTATCTTTGACTAAATATCCCAGACTTGAATACTATTACTAGGTAACCACTAATAGTTTTGCACTTTAATAATTGTTAGAAAAGCAATGTGTGCTCAAATAAGCTTGGGAGATATGAGATAAAGTTTAGAGCAAATTTTTTTTTAGTATATTTTTATTGATTTCAGAGAGGAAGGGAGAGAGAGAAACATCAATGATGAGAATCATTGATTGGCTGCCTCCTGCACGTTCCCCACTGGGGATCAAGCCAGCAATCAGGGCATGTGCCCTTGATCAGAATCAAACCCGGGACCCTTCAGGCTGTAGGTCAATGCTCTATCCACTAAGCCAAACCAGCTAGGGCTAGAGCAGTGTTTTAAAGCTTTTAATATGCTGAATCTCCAAGAGGAAACAGGTATGTAGCTATCCTCCAAATGTAATTGACCATGGAACCCTTTTTTCACAGAATTTGTTCCTCAGACACTGCGCAAAATTCATCTCAGTATAAAAATCACTTGCATCTCTGTTATATTAACAGCAATGAAGATGATAATTCTTTCCATTTTGAAAGCTTGATAGCTAATATTTCACTCCCCTATAAACATTTTGTAAAAGCACCGGCTTTCTGAAAACAGGTTTGTCCTCTTTTCCTTTAAACAGTTCCTCTTTCCTTAGTTCTCTTAATAGTATTACCGTTGCTATTGCCCTGTGTAACTTGATTCTTCCTTCTCATTTGCCCATCTCTCCTCTAGACTGCAATTCCATGAGGCAAGGACCCTGTATCACTGGTTTGTCACTGTGCCCAGAAGGCCTCGCACAGGTTCTTAATGTATTTACTTATTTTAATCCTCACCCAAGGATATTTTTCCATCGATTTCTTAGAGTGGAAAAGAGAGGAAAAGACAGGGAGAAATATTGATGTGAGAGAAATACATTGACTGGTTACCTTGACCAGGATCCAGGCTGGGGAGGATCCTGCAACCGAGGTACATACCCTTGACCGGAATCAAACCCAGGACCCTTTGGTCTGCAGGCCAACTCTCTTTCCACTGAGCCAAACCGGCTAGGGGTTTAATGAGTATTTTTGGCTATGTGTCTGAATCAAAGAAAAGTCAAATTGTCCCTGTCTGAAATACCTTAAATTTGAAATTAAAAAGTTCAAATGGCCCTGGCTTGGTAGTTCAGTTGGTTAGAGTATCATCCTGATATGCCAAAGTTGTGGGTCCCATCCCAGTCAAGGCACATATAAGAATCAACCAATGAATGCATAAGTAAATGAAACAACAAATCGATGTTTCTCTCCCCTTCCTTTCTCTCTCTAAAATCAATAACTTTCTTTTAAAAGGCTCAAATAGCCCTAACCGGTGTGGCTGAGTGGATAGAGCGTCAGC